TGATATGATCCAACTAGATTAATGAAATATCATACTATGATTTTCGTAAAACTAGAAATTGTAGTATAGATACAATCCCTAATATGTTCATTGAGTGGAAAAATATTTCTCCTTGCTCAAGAAGCCAATCAGGTTAATTCAGAAATTACAGAAGCTAATCAAAATTCTAGTAAGACCCAATACATTTGGGACTTAATACTTACCTATTGGTTTCAGCCTTATCTGAAAACACCATACATATATGCTGTTAAACACACCTATTTTCACATTTATTGTTAGTTTGTTCATGATATTCTTCATCTTGTCATTGATTGATGTCAATAGGAATTAGTGTATTGGTCAGTGCAACAGTGTGGATATGACTGTGAAAGGTTTATGTTGGACATAATATACTACAATTTCCTCTTTTACAATGTGAAAGGATTTTATTACAAGGTTAGTTTTGACAGAAAAGTCACTTGTGATCATTGTAGCAGGATTAATCTGCTGGTAGATCTGGTAAGAATAAAATGCTATATAGAATGGAAAACTATGTTCCAAGTTTTTATGTATTGATTTACTTTAATTCATTGTTAATCTTAAGTAAATTAAGAATTTATCATATTTACTTAGAGACTTGAATAGCTACATTAAATTTTAAGATTTTAAACATTGAGGCAGTGCTTGACTGGGCTGGTAATGATCATGGTCATAATATGTTTATGTTCTTTTTTCAATTTAAGAATAAAATGCTATATAGAATGGAAAACTATGTTCCAAGTTTTTATGTATTGATTTACTTTAATTAATTGTTAATCTTAAGTAAGTTAAAAATTTATCATATTTACTTAGAGACTTGAATAGCTACATTAAATTTTAAGATTTTAAACATTGAGGCAGTGCTTGACTGGGCTGGTAATGATCATGGTCATAATATGTTTATGCTCTTTTTTCAATTTATTTTTATGTTATGCTGTACATTGATTTAAAAAGAATACAAAAATGAAGTCATTTGTCCTTCCATTCTCAGAATTTCAGTTTCTAAATTTCATATGTTATAAATTGAAATTAATTTCTGACATGAAAATCGTTTCCTTGCTTAGGTTTCTCATGCTGTCAACAGCTCATGTGACTAAAGTTCTGAGCATCCTCAACACCATGCAGAGCATTCCCTAACTTGCCCAAAGTTCCCCACTCTTCTACATGCATGTGAAATATTGTGCTCACATAAGAAGGATGCATATAAGCTCTGCTTTCCCATCAAAATCAAGATCTTGTAGTCAATCATGATAGAAAACTACATATATTCTGGTTATATGGAGGTGGGTGTAATGTAAAATTCAAAACAGGCAGACTTACCTCTTAAATATATAAAGACAGAACACCCATAATGAGATGGAGGGAAACATACAGTTATAGGACCAGCAGGGCATCAAAATTTAGCTTTTAGGAAGGAAATTAAAATTCTAGACCAAACAAATAAAAGGTATGATAGAGCAGAATTTGAATGGAACCACAGCCAGAGTAAAACTCAATATACTTTATTTGTGGGAGAAACAAGTGGAGCAGACCAACCTCATAAGAGACTGGACCAAACTAGAACAGTCATGAAAAATAGTATTCTTCTCAGCAGAATACCTCACTAGACACCCTCTACTTAATGTATGAAAGGGGGGGGGGTTGGATGGCTTGTATGTACCCAT